AATTACAATAATAATAATAACACTCACACAGTTGGATAACACTTTTTAATCTGTTGGGCCACACCCTTCAAGATCGAAGAAATTTCTTCTTTTCTGACTGGCCGGATTCGCTTCTATAATAAGTGTACAAATGATACACATTTTACCTTAATATAATTGGCTAATTTATTTAACAAATTAATGGTTAGATTTTAATTAGGTGTAATATTGGACCGTACCCTTATCTGGATTTATCTCAGCGTTCTGTCTTAAGAATTTTATTCAGTCTAAATCAGGGTAAGCGAATATCTCAGCGTGATTCCTAATAGAATTCAGTTGTGTTGAACTAGTTTTCAGCTGAATTTAAATGAGTGGCTGTAACTTATTATTGGATTTATGGTCAGCAATTTTTAGGGGAGTAGGTTATACATTTCAAGTATAAAAATGATGGATTTCTAGCTTATTATTCACAGATTTCAATGATATAATTTGAAGGGCTTTTCTCTCTGTTAATCAGTTTATTAATATGTATTGAATTGATGGTTTCACCGTAACATCTGCCTGAAGCTGGCTCAGCGTAGTTGAAGCTTGAAGAAGAATATCGGCATGCACGTACCTCTCTAGAAATAGATGTTGTGAAGATTAAGTCAGTTTATGTGGCTGAGGCCTTTTCTATTCAAATCACTTGTAATCTTGGTGAACATCTAGTGCATTGGGCTGACGTGAGTTGCCACGCAAACGTAGGAGTATAGCTTCGAACTGTGTAAACAATTGTTGTGTCCCTGGTTCTACTTTCTTATCTTTTAATTTTTTTCCCATTAGAAAAACAACATAATTAATGATATGTTAATTTGTTAATTAAAACCAAGTAGATCTATAGGTTTCAACTTTCATTCAAGACTCACGGATCAATTTCAATTGGTATCAGAGCACGGAGATTTAAAATTTTAGTTTATCGATCTGGCTATCCCGTATTTCTTGAACTCAAGTTTTTAGCGTCTTTTGTTGTTTTTCTTGCTTTGTTCAATCTCACGGTGTGTTAAGTGTTTCAAGATGGAACGATATAAGCCCCCTCCCCAGTTAACAGGTGACAACTAGGCCTACTGGAAAGCGCGCACCAGAAATCATCTTAAAGCACAAGGAGAACGTGTTTGGCGTAATGTCTTAACTGGATGGACTCATCCTACCAAGGCTGGAGCAACTCTAGAAGATCCCCCAGTGACAAAGCTTGAAATAGAGTGGACTGAAAACGAAATAACCGAGGCTGGATATAATGATAAAGCTCATGACACTATTTACTCACTAATGCATGAAAGTCAATTTACTTTGTTTATAGGTATTAATTCAGCAAAAGCAGCATGGGAGATACTTGAAACGACCTACAAGGGCAAGGGTTCAGTAAAGCAATCTAAACTACAACTTGTTCAATATGAATTTGAGGAAGTACGTATGAATGAAGATGGAACCATTGTAAGTTTCCATGGTCGTGTCCAAGAACTTGCCAATAGAGCAACCATGCTTGGAGAACCTTTCTCTCAACTGAAGCTGGTCAAGAAAATACTAATGTCACTATTACCGTGATTCAGGATGAAGGTAACAACTATTCAAGAAAATGATGGATGGGAAAATAAATCAGTTGCTTAATTAATGGGAAATCTGCAAGCTTATGAAATGGAAATCGTCACTGATCACACCAAAAAGCAAAAAATCGTTGCCTTTATCGCTAAAGAACAGGGTGTTGCATCTGATCTAGAGGAACTAGGTAATGATCCAGTTGTGTTTTTAACTAAACAATTTTCTAAGATTTTGAAACAGGTGTCTCAAAAGAATTCACGCAATAACAAGTTTAAAAAAAGGATCAAGCTCAAACACATTGAAGAATGGTTCAAACTCTAACTCATAGAATTACAAGTCTTCTGCCTCTCATGCACCCTAGTCCAAAGACAAATCCAGCAACAAAGGTATTCGTTGTTACGAATGTGAAGGATTTGGCCATGTCCAAGTCAAGTGTCCTACTTATCTAAGGAGAAAGAAGTCCATGTCTGTCGTAACCTAGAGTGACAATGAACCTGAGTCAGAAGCCGCTGGATCTGATTCAGAGGAAATATCTGGTAATTTTGTTGCCTTTACTGCCAGAACTAAAGTTTGTCCAGAATCTGAAGATGTCGCTGATTTAGAAGGAGGCTGGCCGTTATCTCTCCGCTTATGGTTTTGGTTCTTGAAAACGTGGTTAAAAGATTGAAGTAGTATGGTTGTGATTGTTATGGATAGATGGTAAAACGGGGAGTTAGAACCACTCCGAGTGTCGTTCCCTCGACGAATGAAAACTTGGAAATTGGGTTATAGAGAAGGGTGAGGCTTTCGAAACACTTGAAGGCTCGATTGAGAGAAGTCGTTTGATGAAGTTCGTTTTGACGTTGTTGGTTGGCAAAGAACTATAAACTAAGAGAGGTAGATCGGGAAATAGGATTTTACTTAGAGAGAGAGAGGCGGCTAGGATTGGGTTTCGATTGTGTTGCGTGATTGGTCAATCCCAAGATGGGAGAATTGTGGTGATTTGATTGTGCGCTACTAGTAAAGAGAAGTGGATTGCGAGTGCGTTAGCCGATTCGGTCTAAACGCCGCCCGTAGGAATTCTCATTCTCTACGGGGCATTTAAGCAAACACTTTGCACTCACTCCTTTCCAGGTCTTGCCCTCTCGGATCGAAGACGAGGAAATGAAGAGGATCAAGGCTACCCGGATCTAGCAATCTCTTGCCTAGATCTAGGTTTCCAACACCATCCATGGATATGGGCCCCACTCCAAGAATGTCATAAAGTTCATCCTCAACAACAAGACATCCACATAGTCAACAATCAATCAAATATCACAAGATAAACAAATCAAAGCATCATCACAATAATCAATCTACACCGCAATCCTACCCACTAGATTTAGCCAAACATAATTAAGATCTCAACAATCAAAGGGAAAAAAGAGATAAAACAATAAAGCACGAATTAGATTTTACCTCAAATTGTTTAGATCCACCCAATACAAGATGTTGATGAAGATCTACTAGCCAATTGCTTTCAATCTTCAAAGCTCCTTTGCAAAATCTAGCAATTCAAAATGTTTGCTAATGTAGATCTCAATATCTCTCTAGAAACCTATTCTAACCCTACTAACCTCTCTCTAAAATCTGATTGTAACAAGTGAAAATCTCTCTAGACAAAGTTAGCTCCTTTCAGAAAATGAACTTTTAGCTTTAAATATTCTTTAGCCATTCGGCCCACGCATGGCGGCACGCCGTGATGCCAGCGTGAGGAGGGGCGTGAATGGGAAATAATTCCCATTCCGTCCCCCTTCTTTGTGCGTAGCCTTGGCGTGTTCGGTCCTCGTTGCGTGGAATGGCGTTGGCTTGTCTCCTTGAGGTGGCTTCAACTTCTTTTACCTCATTGTTTGGTAGAACCATCTTGTTGCTTCCTATAGAATCAATACCAGTTTAATTCAAAAGTTAACAAGATGTTTTCATCAACAGTAAAAAACATTCTCCATTTAAAACAAATGTTCAACACATGCACAATTTATTGTCCCTACTTAGCTCAAGTTCTTCAAATGATAAATCAACGTTTGTTAACATAAGATTCATGCAAAACTCTTCAAGTCTTGAGCAAATACACTTCAAGATTACTCATTCTCGCTTTTCTCAACACATTAAAACAAACTACCATATGCATTCAAAACATCTTCTTTGTTAAGCAAGTTCTAGCAAATAAGCACTTTTCAATGTTTAGCTTTCCACACTTTATAAATCTACCACACATTGTTTGACAAACCACATATGACAAAGCTTTTAATAATCATGGGTTTAATACAAGAATCATAGGCATAATATCACCAAACAAATGGTCAATGAAACACATCCTACATTCATGCATATTTGAACCTAGAACTATGCAAAACGGATGTTCAAAAATTATATAAGCATCACTTTATTATCATTGCATAATTTAGTAAACAATTTTATCATTCAACACAAATTAAAGCAAACCTAGATTTCATAGCATCTATGCTAGCGTAGAAAACTTTTCATACAATTTTTAAACAATGCGAAGTGGCAAAGATACAACCTTTATCAACAAAGTGTTCATCAAAGAGTAGTAAGAGTGTTCTAGCACTTGTATATGCCAACATATCTAAAATGCAATCTTTTCATACAACACTTTGAAATAATGAAAACTAAAAATTGAAATATTAACAAATAAGGGAAAAGAAATGTTACCTTTGAGTGTAGCTAGAGTGTCTTTAGAGTAGTGCTTACAAGGTAGAAATGAAATAGAAGAGTTAAATTTTCATAGCAAAGTTTCTTATTTTTATAGAGTAGGGACCAAGACATAAGAGAATAGAATAAAAAAGGCATTCGATGAAAAGGAGAGGTCGAAACTTACTAGGGCTTCAGCTGTTTCGCACTCCCATTCACGCCGCTGTCACGGCGTGACAGAGGGCGTGGATGTGATTTTATTGTTTCGTTGCCATTCCCTATTCACTCCGTGGTCACGACGTGAACAGGCGCGTGAATGGGGTTTTAAACCTCCATTCGCGCCTTGTTTCAAGCGTGGCCACAGGTCTTCTTCGGTTCAGCCTTCCTGTCCAAATTGTTCTTAAATTCTTCTCAGAATAATCTTGTGATTCTTGTATTGTTAGTCCTCAAAAACAATTTTATTCAAAAATTAAATTATCAACAATTAAAATAACGCAATGTAAATAAAACATTGGGTTGTCTCCCAAGCAGCGATTCTTTTAACGTCTCAGCCTTACATACCATATCTTTCAACCATCGTTGGTTGCTTGCACACTACTTTTATTCCTTCTCCAGACGAACTTCCCAAATTTTCCTACACAGCCAAACGTGGCCTTTGTTTTTTTCTTCGGTCTTGTCGATTTCTTTTCTTTCCTTCCTTTGACGTTCATGCCAAACTTGGTTTCCACATCGTCGACACGCAAGGTAAGCTTACCTGCGCTCACATCAATAACAGGTTATTGTTCGGGCAAAAACGATCTTTCGAAGATCAATGGTACCTCTTTTAGCTCTGGTCCTACATTCAATACTACGAAATCCATAAGAATAATAGAATTTTCAATTTTAACCAGCACATCCTCCATGATGCCCAATGGGTACCGTGTGGTCCCATCGGCAAGCTGGATGGTCATGCGGGTCAGTGTCATTCCATGCATTTTTAACTTGTCTGCAATACACGAAGGCATCACATTGGCTGAGGCTCCTAGATCAGCTAGCGCGTTCTTGAAAACGTAGTTGTTAATCACACAAGACACAACAAACAAACCAGGGCCACCATTCTTTCTGTGGCACCCCTTTTCAAGGACGTCGGAACACACCACGCTCATGTGGGCATGGGATTCATTGTGAATCTCCTTCTTTTGGACGACCGGTTCCTTTGATCTGGGTAGATCCTTTAGTGTGTGTGGAAGAGGCATATTGATATACAGTTTCCTGAGTAAAGCATTGAATTTATCTCTTTGCTCCATTTCTGCCAGATTTATCGTTCGGTTAGTGGTTTGTGGACGGTAACGAGATGTTACTACCCTGGCTTTAGTCTTTGTGTCCTTCGCATCATCATATTTCATCATTACTTTGCCCTTGACAGATGTTTCCCTCTCCATGGTGATAATATTTGGTTCAGACTCTGGATGAATTGATATAGAGTTTGCCCTCTCTCTCTGATTATTCTCTGTCGTGCTCGGTAGTGATCCCGAAGGTCTCTCAGTTACCAATTTAATCAAATGAGCCATCTGAATTTCGATGTTTTTGAAAGACGTTTGTGTTTCTTGTCTCATGGTTTAATTAAGTTATTATAACATTAGGTTATAATTATTTTATTTTTATTTTAATTTTGTTTTGTTTTACTTTTAGGATTTGCGCAGCAGCCAAAAGAAAAGAAAGAAAAGACGAAAAGAATTAAAAGAAACCCTTTGGGGAATTGTTATTTTGGAGGAGTTTTGGCAGAACACTTACGGAGGAGACGAAAAGCAGAAAGAAAAGAATAGGAGAGAAAATAGAAAGCTTGGGAGCGGCAACAGCGGTTCGGCGAGGAGATTTCAACGAGGAATTTTCGAGCTTCAATCACAGCTATCATCTCTTAGGCTTGAATTATTTTTCTTCTCTGTTTTATTTCTTGTTTAAATTTCCAGAATAATATTCTTTGAATTGTTTATGCATTTAATTATGATTATTTGCTAGAACTTTAATTAGGGATTTGGATTAGCCTAGATTAGATTAATTGACTATTTTTCTTGTGTTGATTCTTCCAATTTCAGTTTAAATAATTGAACTAGATTATATTTATTTTATGTATTTTAATTGTGGATTGTGTGACTGGCCATTGCATATTTCCCATTATTAGGGTTTATAAGAAGAACTGACAGGTGAATTATGAACCAAGAACTCGTAAGATAAACACAATTGACCTAAACTAGACATAGATTTAGGTATTTGTGGTGATATTTGATTGTTTCTTAATGGGTTTAATTAATGTTGGTGAGATATCGACGGATGATCACAGTTAATTGGATACAACCTAGTAGCTCGATGGAGTATTAGGATATATTTGAAGCAATCATCACTATAGTCATAAGAATCAATATTTAGGAGTTAGTTAATTATCTAATAGGTGAACCCAAATCCCTAGTCTTCTCTCAATTGGAATTTCCTTTGCTTTAAATTCATAAATATTCTTTTTAATTACATTAGTTCTATTTATTTGCATTTTTCCATATCAACAATTTGATTATTTAAGATAACAGTTAATAGTGTTCTTCGTGGGATCGACCCTGGAATACTCCAGGAATTTATACTGTGATTGACTCTGTGCGCTTGCAGATTATAGCAATCAAGTTTTTGGCGCCGTTGCCGGGGAACACTTTTATTAAACTGCTTTCTTTAAGTTTTTCTTTTCAAATTTATTTTAGTTGTTAGGTTCATTATTATTTTATTTTTATTTTTATTTAATTTTTGTGTTTCTATTTTTATTTTGTTTGTTTATGAACTTAAGGCGATCACTGAGGCATAAAAACACTGAATTATTCTCTATTGATCTTGAAATTGAACGCACTTACAGAAAAAACAGGGTACGAAGGCAGCTTGAAATGGCTGAAAACAATAGAGTGGGCCAACAGGATGACCCCGTACTACCAATAGTTCCACCTCCTCAAAATCAAGCAGCTCAACCACGTCCTCGAGACATCCAAAGACCAGTAATAGTTGTTAACCCTTCTTGCATTCAATTATCTGATGCAGCTAGAAATTATGAACTCAAGACTTTCCATCTGAATATGCTCCCTACCTTTAACGGTTTGGGAAGTGAAGATGCTTTGGGTTTCATGCGAGAGCTCTATAGTACGGTACAAACTTTACCTTTAAATAATTTATCTGAAGAAGAGCTTATGTTTTCCATATTGCATGAGGGGTGATGCTAGGCAGTGGTTGTTAAATTTACCAGAGGGTTCTTTAAGAGCTTGGGATGATGTTTACAATGCTTTCATGTTTAAATATTATTCATCTCAAAAGACAATGGACTATAGGAGTAGGATATGCACTTTCACTCAAAGAGAGGGTGAATTATTTCATGAAGCATTGGATCGTTTTAAATTGATTTTGACACAATGTCCACACCATCAATTTCCATTGTTATTGTTGACACAATTCTTTTATGATGGTTTAACTCCTAATTGTCAGTCTCTTGTAGATACTGCTGCAGGTGGATACACAGGTGATAAAAATAGTGATGAATTGGAAGCTATCTATGAGAGCTTAGCTACTAATTCTCGACAAAAGGCAGTGAGAGGTCGAAGAGCTGCTGTGCATGAAATTAGCACACAATCTGAGTTGACAACACAAATGGTTGAATTGACTAAACAGATTAACTTGTTGATGACTCGTGATAGTTCGAATAGAGAATTTTGTGCTTATTGCAATACATATGGTCATAATTCTTCTGTTTATTTGAATGCAGAGTCATCACAACCATCTTATGAGGAAGCTAATTACATGGGCTCCAACATGGGTAGGCAACCACCAAGAAATTATCCATTTTCCCATACATATAATCCAGGTTGGCGAAATCACCATAATTTCTCATGGAGAGATCATGGTAATGCAAGACCAATGGGACCACCTGGATTTCAGCAACAAGGATCATCAGAATTTCAGCATCAGCAATACAGACCTTTCCAGCAGACACCTATACCACAACAGTCTCAACTTCCTGCTCAGGAGAAGAAGCCTCAATTGGAGGAGATGTTCATGTTGGGGAAAATTGCAACGTCAATGCGCGATCTGGAAGCCTTTTAAGAAGCACGGACACTATTGGTGTATGGTTGAAAGGAACTCTGTGCCGTGTTATAATAACACTACCTTAAAAGCGTTATTTGCCCGGTAACGGTGCAGTTAGGACCCTGGCACGCTTTCGACAGGCTACACAGACCTACTACGGATAGCTTGCACTAGCAATCACGTAGGTGAACCTCACTATTGCTCAGACCTTAACCGATAGTCACGAATTATATATATTATATTATAATATATATTAATTCTTATATAGAAAGAAGGAAGAAGCTTGCATTTAGACAAAATTGTCTTGCTTCATTATATAGTGTAATAAAGTGAAGCTATTCCTCATTTCGTCCATAAAGTAACGAAAAGAAAGGGAGAGTGGACAATGAAGAAACTCATGCTACCACACCTTACACCACAAAATACGGATAGGTCATTGTTGACCATCCTAAAAGAGTGCTACTACTTTGAATGGAATTTCCAACAACCCCCCACACATTCAAAGAAGAAGGCTAGAAAGGAATAAAGACTGAGCAATACAATTGAGTTGATCTTAATGTCAGTGTTTGAGAACTTGAACTGACACGTAGTGACACTGAGTAATTTTCTTTCCGGGAGTGATGTGAATCTTGAACTCACCGGTTAGATAAATTTTGAACTCGAATGCACACACCAACTCAAAAAGCAGGTTCTACAAAAGTCAAACTCTTTGACTTCTTATGAACACCCTTAGTATTAAAGAATGTTACGTCTGTCTCAAATATGGACTTCTACCCTGTCAAAGTCTATCACAAAATAGACTTTTAACTCTGACAAATCTTACAACATTATAGATTTTTTCCGTCTTGTGAAGTCCATCTCAATACAGACTTTTAACTCTATCAGGTCTATCTCGGTATAGATCACCATTAAAGGCTTATAGAGTAGTTAAAGACATAAATCAGTTGTAAGTCTTTTCTTTCTATCATAGGCTGTTATTTGCAATGCAAACGACAGTTTGTGAATCACAATGAAGGAAGGTGTTGGACACCCCCACAATTACACGGTTATCACCATGTTTCTTAGCCACTCAGCTTATTGGGATAACCCCATTATCTTTCATAAGAGGCGGTTAGCCCTTTTGTACTCAAGTTAGGGGTCTCTTTAGGTCTATCTCAACATAGACCATGGTAGCCCTTTTCCACTCAAGTTAGGGATCTCTTTAGGTCTATCTCAACATAGACCATCCCAATTGAGTATAAGAGGCTAAACTTCCAATGTGGGACAACCTGGATAGGCAAAAGGAAACCTTTCCGTTTAAATGCTCCCAACAATCCCCCACCATTAAAGGGACTTAGGCTGATGCTGTCATTGCCTGACAACGATCAAAACAAATTTTCATGCCAGTGTATAAAACTTGAACTGTCATATAGTGACATTAAGTACTTCTCTAAACGGGAGTGAATTTGATCTTGAACTCATCGAATAGACAAAGTTTGAACTTAACGCACTTAATTTGCTTTGGTCGCTTTAAAATATGTGAGGTCATACTCTTGACCCTGAGATATCCCCTGTTAGGTCTATTCTAGGATAGACCTTCGACTCTGTCAAGTCTACCTCAACGCAGACCACCATGACTGGCTACAGAGTATCTATGGGCACCACGAGCACTTTGTACTCATGTCATTATGCGGTGAATTCATTAGGTTTGTCTCAACAAAACCACCCTTTCTCAAAGAGTTATGAATTCATTAAGAGCTGTAGGTCAACCTCACATGCGGTGAATTCATTAAGTTTGTCTCAACAAAACCACCCTTTCTCAAAGAGTTATGAATTCATTAAGAGCTGTAGCTCAACCTCACAGGTACACAGACTGTCGGAATGACCAACTAGTGTACTATTTTGTAACTCTTTTCATGGTTTCGTTTAACCACAGAAGTGGGATCCACCACGAATTCATTACCACTTGGACTTTAAGTCCTTCCAATGAGTCAATGACTAATCCTCATAATTAGCCCTCAAGTAAGTTGATTCTCTTGACCAAACTTACATGCACTTTGACGAGTACTTCGTTTACTCGTAAATAATCCCTTGAGATTTTCATGTTTAACATGACACATTATCTTTCATCATTATTCTCAATACCACAGAGAAACTTTTGATGAAAATATATGGAGTTTATTACCCCACAAAGCAACACTTAAAAATATTTTTGTCAAATGTATTTGATCTCTTACCCAGACTGATATTTGGTGCCCATCATTAGCTCCTTTGTAGACTGAGTTTTGCCGACTTGCTTTGTAGAGCATTATAGAAGCTTCGCACTCTGCCTGATACATGCTCAACAGTTGATATTTCAACAAACTTGGTTATCTCAATTGATCACAATTACCCTTTAACTAGGAATTATAGGTATTTCAATATGACTCAACCAAGAGTTTAAATAATATATATATAAATGCTCATTGTTAGTAAGCCATAGAAATAATGTTGTTCACATGCTACATGAAGTTGAACAATATAATCACAAATTTCACATCATATTCTTATAAGAAATTAATCTCATACACAAGGAATATGTTCGAGTTCATATTTATTCGGAATATCTCTCAACAATGAGACTTCAGAGTTGCCACTAGCACAATTTTTTCCTTCCCTTAAGGAATTTAAAACTCATATAAAGCATTCATAGGGTGCAGATCAATATTGCAGTACTTCAACAACTTCTATTGCAAGGCTTTGATTGTATTAGCAACATATGAAAGTCAACCTCATTTCAGGTAAAGATCAAGTGGCGCTTTAACTAGCCTGCATGATCAACACCCTATTTCTTAAAAACTCCCAGGTCGAGTGGTGAAACCGAAGTTTACTTAAAAACCATCTTCCTAGACAGAGTGTTCAAGAATGATGACTTTTCCATGTTCTCACTAAATTACAATTGAAGCCTATGATATATGCTCTTATTTTTATACAAATAATTTTAGTAAAAAGTTTGAGCAATATCTATGCACGAATTATTTCAATCAATGTCATTAGTATTCAAAATACTAAAGAAATAAGTACTACTAAGTAATCAAAATCTAGACAGCTCAGCTAGAATTCAGTACTAAGATAACCATACTTCATGCGAACCCTTAGAACTAGAGCAAATATAGTTACTCAAAATAACTATTTATTTAAAGAGACTCAATACTCATCTTGCTCTGTCAGATTGACTTTTGCTAGTTTTGCCCTTCTGATGGTAGCACTGGTGTGCTCGGTGTCCTTGCTTTTTGCATGTAAAACACCTTCCTTTGAACTTCTTGATTTTTCTACTCCTTTTGTTGTAGACAGTTCTGACACTTTGATTTTCAGTTTCATTGGAACCATACTTTTCTGATAGTGATTCCCAAATGACTTTTGCCGAATCTTGTTTGACATAGACGTCGAACAAATCGTCATTCATTTGTGACAGCAGGTATCCTCTGGCTGCCGCATTGTTATTTCTAAATTGAATCAGAGTTACACCCGGTTCATGACCCGGAATGTAATCTATTTCAGGACTGCTTTCTCTCGATTCTTCACCCGGAGTGTAATAAGGTTCATGGTTACATTTTGTAGCACCAAACAGAGAGAACACTGTTGGAGTAGGTTCAGGTGCAACTGAATAAACATTCTTTGAGCCCACCTGCTGTAATTTTTCCCATCAAGCGCGGTGATTTTTGATAGATCCGGTATGACAGAAGGTGCCATAATGCTAAAGGTTGACTGTTGCACAATAACGCTTTTAACTGTTGGGGAAAATTGCAACGTCAATGCGCGATCTGGAAGCCTTTTAAGAAGCACGGACACTATTGGTGTATGGTTGAAAGGAACTCTGTGCCATGTTATAATAACACTTCCTTAAAAGCGTTATTTGCCCGGTAACGGTGCAGTTAGGACACTGGCACGCTTTCGACAGGCTACACAGACCTACTACGGATAGCTTGCACTAGCAATCAAGTAGGTGAACCTCACTATTGCTCAGACCTTAACCGATAGTCACGAATTATATATATTATATTATAATATATATTAATTCTTATATAGAAAGAAGGAAGAAGCTTGCATTTAGACAAAATTGTCTTGCTTCATTATATAGTGTAATAAAGTGAAGCTATTCCTCATTTCGTCCATAAAGTAACGAAAAGAAAGGGAGAGTGGACAATGAAGAAACTCATTCTGCCACACCTTACACCACAAAATACGGATAGGTCATTGTTGACCATCCTAAAAGAGTGCTACTACTTTGAATGGAATTTCCAATACATATAATCCAGGTTGGCGAAATCACCATAATTTCTCATGGAGAGATCATGGTAATGCAAGACCAATGGGACCACCTGGATTTCAGCAACAAGGATCATTAGAATTTCAGCATCAGCAATACAGACCTTTCCAGCAGACACCTATACCACAACAGTCTCAACTTCCTGCTCAGGAGAAGAAGCCTCAATTGGAGGAGATGTTCATGCAATACATGGCAAGCCAGGACACTATGATGAAGAAAATGGATGCAAAAATTGATAAGGTTGCTCAGTCCAACCAAACATCCATTCATAATTTAGAGGTGCAAGTAGGTCGGTTGGCTAAATTGGTTGCAGAAAAAGATCGAGTTAAGTTTCCTAGTACCACTGAAATAAACCCTAAGGAAGGAGCTATGGCTGTCACTTTGAGAAGTGGTAAGATATTGAATGAAATTATGAAAGAAAATGAACCCACGAGGGTTGAAAAGGAGAGTGATAAAGAAGAGGAGCAAGTGCCTAAAGAGAATTCTAGTGATCAAAACCTCATTTCCTCTACAGTGAAACCTTATGTACCGCTCATTCCATACCCACAAAGGTTACAAAAAAGGAACCGGGACAATAACTTTAAAAGATTTTTGGAGGTTTTTAAAAAATTGCAGATTAATATTCCTTTTGCAGAAACACTTGCTAATATGCCATCTTATGCCAAGTACATTAAGGAAATTGTGTCTAATAAAAAGAAATTGGAAGAGCTTGCTACTGTGCACCTAAATGAGGAGTGTAGTGCTATTCTACAAAGCAAGTTACCTCCTAAGCTAATGGATCCAGGAAGTTTTTCTATTCCTTGCACTATTGGTAATACTGTTATTGATAAATGCTTATGTGATCTAGGTGCCAGTATTAATCTTATGCCTTTAACTCTTTTTAAGAAGTTGGTAATAGCTGGAATGAAGCCAACAACAATCTCTCTTCAACTTGCTGATAGATCAGTCAAGTACCCGCTTGGAGTAGTAGATGATATCTTGGTAAAAGTTGGTAAATTTTATTTTCTTGTTGATTTCCTAATTCTTGATATGGGTAGTGATACAGATACATCTCTTATATTTGGTAGACCATTTTTGTTAACAGGAGGAGTAATAATTGATATGCCATTAGGGAAATTGATTTTTAGAGTAGGGAGAGAAAAAGAAGAATTTTCCATCTCTAAAGCTATAAAATTACCAACTTTTGATTAATCTTGTCTTTTTGTTGATGTTATTGAGAAACCTTCAAAAGAAGTATTTGTTAAGCATTCACCTCGTGATCCATTGGAAGCATGTCCTAGAGAAAATGAGGAACCAAAATTTGTTGAGTCTATGATGATATTAGAGGGTCAAGGTCATTTTCCTACACATCTTAATAGGACGTATGAAGATTTAGATGGAGGCAACCCTTTTCCATTACCTTCTAATGGAACACCACCTCAACTTGAACTTAAACAACGACTTCCATTGCAGTTCAAATATGATTTTTTGAGTGACAATGAGACTTTCCTTATGCTTTCTTATGCTCATTTACTTCATGTAAAAGAAGAGAGACTATGGAGAACATTGACTAAAACTTGGCATGACAAAAATAATTGTTGGAGAGAATTCAAAGTGTGGCAAGAAGTTTTGTTGTCTAATTCTTGTCTTAAGCTTTCCCCAGGGAAATTGAAGTCTAGATGGTTTTGTCCTTCCATTGTCTCTAAAGTTCGTTCTTACGAGGTCATAGAGATTGAAGGATATAAAAAGAGACCATTTATAGTTACTTCACAAAAAAGGTAGTCCCGGAAGAAATTGACAACTAACAGGGAAGTTTCCTATTTATTTCATTTTCTCATACCTGCTTTTATATTTAACATTGAGGACAATGTTGAGTTTGAGTGTGGGGAAGGGAAAGTAAATTTAGGGGATGTTTCTGCATTTTTCTTTATGCATTTTGCTGCAATTATTTTCTGCACTTTCCTGTAATTTTCTGCAAAAAAAAAATTTCTGCATTTTTAGCATCTTTTCCTTCATTTTTCTGAAATTTCTTAGCAAATTAAGTTTAAAAAATTCCATCTAATGACTATGTTGATTGGGAGATAAGTTCTAGAGTTTTGGGAGTGCATAATATCAATGAATGTGTTTGGCTATATGTATGCTTGCATAGCGTTAGTAGTAAATTCTGTCACACCGTGAGCTTTTGAGCCTAGAGGTTGCCCACTGCAACTTATTTTCATTTTGAGTGTTTATTTGCCCTCTTTGATTGTGTTACTTCTAGAACTTGCTTCATACCATTTCAGAGCTACATGTTATATGTTGACACGAGAATGATTTAGGCATTAGGATTTAGCCTTATAGCCTTTAAAATGACCACATCCTTATACATGTTATATTTCCCCTAGTGAACCATTTTTGAGCATTAAAATAAATATAAGACATTTTTCTTCATTAGCCAGTACCAAAGAACCTTAGCTCATAAAAAGAAGCCTTTAAACCCGTCATTGAGTCAGTAGAAGTCATTATTTCATTTATCTGTGCAAGATGACCAAAAGTGATGAAGTATAGGTGAGATTGGAGTTGAAAGGTGATTGTACAATTGGTTTTCTTTGAGTGAAGAATTTTTTGTGATCAAAGGGGGTGAAAATGAAAAAAAATGAGATCTATTCTAATTTTGTGGGTTGAAAAATCTTGATAGCCCAAACTTTTGTGCTCATTTTATTCTTAAAATGTTTTATGAGCAATGAATGCATGATAGAAATTTGATGATTATGGGAAGAGTACCATTGAGGGTTGTGTGGAAATGGAAAGTTATTTATTCGGTTTTACTAGAGAAAAAAAAGGAAAAAAAAAGAGAAGAAAATGAAAAAAATTGAAAAAAATGAAAACAAATGAAAAAAAATGAAAAAAAGATGAAAAAGAGAATGAGGTTTTGATAGTTGTTTATCAGTGAAAAGGATGAGGGAGAATGAAGTAGTGATGACTTGTTTTAGTGGAGTTCTTTGTATTGGTAGAATACGAGTTCTTGCACTTGATATGGTGAAATTATGGCTCTACTGATTCCTTGGACTTTATTTGTATTTCCTTATATCCTTTCTTTCTTAAACCACGTACCCTTGACCCCATTGCAACCCAAAAATAAAGACCTTTTGACTCGTGTTTTTCATATAATTTTGGTAGTGGAGTTTTGGTGGACAAGCAAGCCTATGGCAAGTGTACTCTCAATAGAGGATGGTGTCTACCTCCCTTATACATATATTTATGAGAGATTGAGTGAACAACCACGAGGACTACTATTCTCTATTGTCTTGTGTGCATATGACTTAGAACTCTCATGAAATATTATGTGTTTACCATCTCCTTGAATTGAATGCCTAGTTGACATGGTTATGGTTGGTAGTTTGATTTCATTGCATAAGTTTGCTTGGGGACAAGCAAAACCTTGAGTGTGGGGAAGTTTGATAAGCTTAATTTCTAGGCATTATTTAGAGTAATTTTAGTAAGTGATTTTCTTTAATAAATTAAGTTTTAGGGTTAATTATATTATAAATATTATATTTAGTTATATGTTACTAGTTTAGACTAGTTTAGATGAGTTTTAATAAATATTAGGCTAATGTTACATTTTTATTAATTTATAAAGAAGAGTTTTATTTTATCTATATTACTAAATTTATTTGTTAGTTTTATTCATTCAATTTTAAACAACTATTTTGATAATTGAGTTTAATCTATCATTATAATAAAGCACTAAGTTTCTGCCTATGCCAAAATCCCGCCCAATGAAAACGACGCCGTTTGATGGCCTGAGAAAAAGTTGTTATTAATCGCGTGCAATTAAATACTGCCAGCTACTTTTTTGCAATACCAAAAAAAATATTAAATAGAATTCTAATTATTACAGACTTCTAACGAGAGTGTTAATTATAAAGAATGCTTTGAAAATCGATTTCTCCATAAACATTTAAATGTAGCCGCAACATGCTTTTGAAAACTGAAATGTTGACAGCCCCCTTCAGTCTTCCCAGATTTTGAAATCCATTGTTTTATATTCTATATAAGCCTGTGTCGATGGAGAGTTCCCCTCCACACTTCAGAATATATTCAGTTCGTATCACCTGCATTTTACAAAAAACACACCCAAACTTTCAGCAACTAAACAATGCCAATGTATGTTCCAGTAAAAGACATTGGCCCACTTGATAGGGAGAAAGCAATAAGAGTCAAGTGTGTTAGATGCTACGAAATAGCGGAGAACAGAGGGTCCACCGAGATCAAGAGTCGAGAAGTTTTGGTCTGTGATAAAGAGGTATTTTCGTGTCATTGTTATGATTTTATTTCACTGTTTAAGCTTTAGGCTTTATAAAGATTTCAATGCAATACACATGTCTTATTTATTTCACTAATCCTAGGGTACTTTCATACATTTGAATATGCAAAACAATGATGTCCATAAATATAAAAATGTGTTCATAGAAGGGAAACTCTATTCTGTAAAAAACTTTTTGGTTTTCACCCACTATTATACTTTCAAAACTTGTGATCACGAATATATGATTAGGTTAAACTATAAGACTCAAGTAAAGGCCATCAAATCGAAAGGTTTTCCTAATAAGATGTTTCAGCTCAAAAACTATGACTCTTTGAAAGACCCTACTCAAGTGAATGACAAGGTGTTGTTTGGTAAGTATTTAGTTCATGTTTTTGCTATTTTTAAGTTTTCTATTTCTGTATTTTGTCTACTATTCCCTTTTTTTTTTTTTTGTTTTTTTTTTGTTTTTACAGATTTAATAGGCAGAGTTGTCGAGATCCATGCTCCTATGGACAAAATAATAGGAGGCAGACCAGCAAAACTTCTAGATTTCAAAATGGCGGATAATGAGTAAGTTTTCTACTAACAACTATGTGCCTATATTTTTAATCATTAAATTCTTTCTAACAGAATTGCCTATAGGGGAAATACATTACAGTGCACTGTTTGGGACAGTCATGTTGCTTCTATGGTACCATATTATGATTCTGGTCTTAAAGAACCCCTAATTTTGGTTCTTCAACTTTGTCGGGCAAAAGTGGTGAATGGTAAGTTATGCAATTGCATTATTCTTTTGATTTTTATCTAGGTTTTCCAACAATCATTAACATGTATGATTCTAATAGGTGAAATCAGAATTACTAGCTGCTATGATGCTACCCAACTTCATTTGAATGGACCTTATCAGGAATTTGCTGATTTTAAATCTCAGTAAGTGCCTTAAATAACATGTGTTTTATAATGTTATCTACTGTTTACTGTCTATATTTTAAATACCATAGATTTTCATTCTCAGTAAGTGCCTTTTTTGATTTTAAATGTTATCTACTGACTACACTTCAAATAGCATGGCATTTATAATGTTATCTACTCTCTACATTTTAAATAGCATGGATTTTAGTATGTTATCTACTGTCTACTGTATACATTTTAAATAGCATGCATTTTAAATTTCATTAAGTGCCTTTTCAGTTTTTAGATGTTATCTATTGTCTACATTTTACAACTCAACACATAACAATGCATGAGACAACAATGAATCTACTGTATCTATTATTTATAACACTTATTCATAACATGCAATGGGCTCATATAATTTACTGTTTTGTTACCTGTAGGTTAAGTGCATCACACAACCCTTTACGCAGTATCAGCACTGCAACTGTGCTTTCTCAATCCCAAGGAATTAATGACTTCACCAGTGGTGCTTTGACTGTAACTCCAGTTGCTGATCTGTTGAAAAAGAAACAGGTTATACTCTGAAATTTTTGATATCATTAATACAGTCCAGTAAGATCAGTAATTATTTATCATTATAATACATACTAACCAAGTTACATTTCCTATGCTAGAATGGGGAATTCTATGTTCCTGCTCAAATAGTGGGAATTGAAGGGTCATTTGGATGGATGTACATCTCATGCATGTCACCAGGATGTAACAGAAAACTGTCTGGCCAATTAGGTGATTTCAGTTGTACACACTGTGAAAAGAAGTATCAAGAAGGCATAGCAAAGTATAGAGTGAAAGTGATTGTTCTTGATAAAGGTCAAAAAGATGCTCCCTTCCTTTTGTGGGATAGGGAGTGTTCTGAATTAGTTGGTATCCCAGCACACAGTTTGTACCTCAAGTATAGTAAGGTAAAGTCACATAACACTATAATTTAATACCTTAATAGCAGTTGTGTTAATCTATTTTGTTG